TTTAAACTTCAAGAACATATATGAAAAGTTGTAAAATATATTGTTTGAAAAGGGAAAGTGGACATTTATTTTGGGACAGCCCAAAGAGGAAAGATGGACATTTTTTTGGGGACAAATGAAGTACTATTTTTTGAGTAATATTAAGAGGAATATAGGAAAATATTTTAAAGTTAGATGCATTTAATGTTAGTTTGAAAGGTTGGAGGTAAGTTGCAACTTTTAGATAGTTGGGGGTTAGTTGCATCACGTACACCAACTCATGTCTTGAACCCTCAAGCTCTCATGTGAGAGGATGAAGAGATATCACTTGAGTTAGGTACATGGTTATTTATTATAATTCCAACTGAGCTAAAAAGTTGAGGATTTTATATATAAATATTTTTTGTATCACTGCTATAAGCCTATAACTGCTTTTTTCATTATCTTATAACCATTTTATATTTGTTTATTTTTATCTTTTAAAATTGTTATTGCATTCTTTAGACTGGATTTGAGGTATTGGAGAATCAGTGCGTGCCAGATGATCCTGTTGTATGTTTCTCATTTGTTGCAGCTTTTTAGTTATATACTCTTATCGGTTCGCTCTCTTGAAAGGAGGTTCAAGTTCATTAACAAGACTGAATATTTGCCTTTCCTCTTTAATGGCGGGCATTATCCCTTGAAGCACGTGGACTGCAGGAGCCAATCGGTATTTTCTTTCCCATTTCATTGTCATTAAATGAAATTTGCTTATTCAGTTTGCGTATGTTAGGCATTGAAAAAACTAATTTGTGTTATGTTCTTTCCTTTTCTTCTATGTGAACTTATGGTTTTATCTTTAACCATAAATTATTGGCTCCATGAATACAGTACTTTCTTATGCATTGCATGGATCTTTTTGAGAAGGGAGGGAGCATCTACGGTTTTCATCTTCGAGTGTAACTCGGTGCGAAGACGGACGAAGTGCTTCTGAGGTGTGATCCCCCTCCCTTCTTAGCTTCTTAAGTAGGATTTTTATTCAACAGCATTAAAGAAAATTTACATTAGTACCTAGGAATCCCTTTGGGTTCTGAGCTCCTTTTGGATTAAAAAAGAAAAGAAAATAGATCCTACATCCCGTAATTGTGGAACTTTCCTGAGAATAGATAGGATGTTCTTAAGCTATTTTACTTGTCCTGTGTCCGGTGTCTTTGGCAAATAGATTATATATGCATTCTAGAAATGCTGATTTTTATGCATTGAGAGATTGTTACGAGAAGACCAATATTTAACTTTACATCGCATTGAATTCTCTCAATTCATTCTTTTTTCATGTACTTTCATATAATATATTTAAATCGAAAGTTCATATTACTAGTAGTCAAATCATTGATGGTTTTTCATGGTTATATAAATTTTTATTTGAATTACCAAAGATGAGATGAGCAAGGACAATCTGATACTACTATATAATATTATAGATTTGTTTGAACGTGTGTGCATACATGATAAAATTGGGAAAGGTATAATCTTGACAAGATAAAAAGTTGGAGATGGAAATAAAATTCTTCAGTAAAGTAAGATACAAATTTACCATATTTATCTCTCTAGTTTACTGGTTTACAGGGCATTGAATATACATATGAAGTTCAAGAGAAGAAAAACATTGTGATCAGCCTGCTAATATATACTTCTTCCCTGTGAATGGTTGAAACTTTTGTTCTTCAATCTTTAAACTTCCCTCCTTGACATCCTGTTTTGAGACAGACTTTGATATTTTTGCAGGCTGGATTGTATCATCTGAACCGAACACAAGCTTTCCTTGCCTCTTGTGAGACTTAACTATCAAGTCAGTAGTCATTCTCATTCTCTCAGCAGCAGCATCAGATCCATTATCTGAAGTTGAAATTGGTTCAGCAGGTGGTGTTTTCCCATCCAAACGTCTAGCGGCACCGGTGAATGGTGTGAACTTTGCTGGCTCTTCTTGAGCTTTACAATCAGGGTCATTCTTCCAAGTAATCACTGTTTTTGGTTTCTTTTCAGGTTCCTTGTAGTCCAAAGGTTGTGCAAATTCCACTTCGCAATCTGTCTCAACTACAGATATTGCATTGGATGGCTTGGTTTCCACTATATCAAGGTAATGGTCCTCGTGGTTATGAGTGATCAGGATTGTATCTCCAATGGTCAAACAAGCAAAGTGCTTAAAAGCTTTTTCAAGGACAGCTTTAGGGTTTGTTAGACTTGTGAATTTCATGGTATGTGGTTGTATCTTCATGTAGGTACCTTTGGGGAGGCTGGTTTTCTTTACAATCACCAACTCACCCTCTATGAGTTTAATGGTCTTCATCATCCAGTTGGGCAAGAAGACGAAACCTTCATCAGCGCTGAACTCTAGAACCCCACAATGCGAAACTTGTCCAGAAGCAGGGTTTTCGATTTCAAAAAGCAAAGGGTACTCGACTTCCATGAACGCCAGACGGTCAAGAGCGGAAGGAGGCATTATGATTCTATTTCCGGCTTCGAGATGGGACTTATTGATATCAGAGAGCGGAAAGCAGCGATAAGCTTGTTTAAAGGAGGATTCATTGGTTTGCTCCATGGAGATGAAGAAAGATGATGATCGATCTCACTAGACGGCTTCTAATGCTGTAGAGATAAGCTGTAAATTGATAGTCGGGTTTTGTTTTTTTGGTTATAACCTTATGCCGGTACCCTATTATATAGGTACATATATTATAGTCGTATATTTATTTACATCCTAGATTCCTAGTCCTTGTGGGTTTTGGTTAACTTTATGACTTTACATCCTAGTTCATGAGGGATTTTAGTTAACCTTAGGAGGGAATCCTATATATCTGTTTTAAGTATACATGGTTAGACGAATGGGATTTTGATCATTGGGAAAAAAGTTGGATAATTGGATAATAAATAATAATAATAATAATAATACTGTAGCAAATAGTAAATTAGTAAATATTATTATTTACTATTATTATTACTGCATGACTCAATTTAGATTTAGAACTTTGGGAACAACCAAACTTGTTCTTTATTGACAAATAAATAATAATCATAATAAATCAATATTTTAAGCAAGTAAAAAAATACTGGTATATTTGAAGTGTTTCAACATCAAAGGGACACTAAAAAATCATGTTCACTTTGCAGCCTAAAGCCTTTTTTTATTTTTATTTTTATTTTTATTTTTTTTGTAGGAATATTATTTTAATTCCAAGGAATATTATTTTAATTCCAAAAGTTCCCCACAATGCATCCATCCAATGGATGAGCACCTTCGTCTCCTCCATTTCCATTCGAATTAAAAGTTTCGGAATGCATATCATTTCTTTTATTTTGTTTTAATTAGGTTATTAGCTCCTATACTCGGCGAAAAAGGGCATTACATCATATTTCTATTATGGCCTTCTTTATATGATTTGTCTATTATACTTCTATTTTGTGCAATGATTAATGAATTTCTTAAACTAAATTTTCTCTAATCTTTAATTCAAATCACCCATTAAACATAACATAAGTACTCAAATTCAGAAATAATTTCAAATTTTGTAACGTGTCATCACAAGAAGTTAATCTCTCACTAATTTAAGGAGAAAACTACGAACCCTTAATATCTTTCCACTAAGCTTTCTTTTTGATCTTTTTGTAAATTAACATGATCAAAGACCCAAAGTAAGTGTGTTTGTAGAACTCAATTCAAGCTTTACTCTGGGTAAATAAAACTCAAAACTTGTTAAGGAAAAATCGAGCTTGGCTCAATCACTTAATCATAGGCGTGACGTGACTGAAAAGTTTAAGCCAAGCTTTAAAACATGTTTAATTTGGTGAAGCTAAGATTAAATAATAACATGCTTTGCTTGAAATCGCTGGCCTTGCTTTCTGCCCTATTCATCGATGTTGTTTCACCATATTAGCAGTAAAATCGCAGAAAGATTTATTACTAAACAGCTTTTGGTTAGCTAATTTTGAGTAAATAATAGCATGGGGAGCTCTTGGCTACTTAATACTGTCTTATCACTTACTGAATGAATTCTCCAATTAATTGCTTCAAAATTATTAAACGTAAAATTATTTTCTGATCCAAATTCTACAAATGTTTACCTGGTCTACAATGATGAACCTAACACGCCGCATTTGTTTATTTAGATCTGCAATTTAGAAGTGTCCGCATATATGAAGTTCTTTATACCATCCATCAACAATTTAATGAGTGTTTCTGGTAAATCATATTTCACCCAAACAAGTCAGTATGATAGGACCAACATTTTATTTTATTTATTTATTTATTTATTTTCTTAGTTGGTACTCATAGACCTATATATGCCTCTCTGAGGCTTGAACCCCTAAACTTCTTTTAAAAATTAAGAACTTGATATCGCTGAGCCACTAGCCCGTTGATAGGGCCAACATTTTATCACGCACGAAAGGCAAACAACTCTCAAGAACATGACCCTATTGTTTTGCAACTGACTCCGATGATATAGTTATTCTTGCATATGAACTTATCCTACATTCCAAAAATTAAACAAACTGAGAATGTAAGTGGAGAGAAACTACAAATTCTATTTCCCCTAAAAGTGCATCATTCTTTTATCTAAACTGTCACATTTTGGTTGTCTTCTTCATTCATTCTTCATTCCTTCCTCAACCTATATTCATTCCATAAGGAGTTCGTTGTTGCATAAAATTGAAGACGAGGGTTAGGGTGGACTCAGAGTATTTTTAGGTGCACTTATCCATGGGGTATCAGCAACTGCAAATCTCCACAATGCACCGACATGCTCAGGTGAAGCGTATTCAATACCAACCCGTGGACCAATTAGCATTTTTTCTGGTTCTGGACCATCTAAGAGTTCTAAACCACCTGTGCCACACAGTTGCATCAGAATTACATCAAGTTCATTTAATTTTAGATAGAACATGGCAGAAAGCTTTACCAGGAGAGAAAAGCGGATGGTTAGACCATTCTGTTGAAATTCCAAGTGCTTGACCAACCTAGAAAAGGAGATATTAAGTTAAACTAACCCAACATAATCCAAGAAACCAGCACATACATAAATAAATAAATATTCTTCGCTTTCTCCTTTGGGATGTCATTACTAGTTAAACAAAGTATGATTTACAGTTTGTGACTTAAATCCTGCAGATGTCATTTTGTATTGAAAATTTAAAAATAAATTCCGTGAAGTTGCACCGTAGGATACAACAAAAAAAAGTGTACGAGCGAGGATTTTGATTGTAGAGTTTGGGACTACTTTTGTTGTCCAAGAAAGAATCATAATCTGTTACTTATAAACTTTCACATGAGAGATTCTAGAGTTTGGGACTACTTTTGTCATATTTTCTCAACTGTTTTACGGAGTAGTAAGATTGCTATAATATTTCTTATCAGGGAAAAAAAAGAAAGCCAAAGAAACGAATGTGGTTTTGCTATTTTTAGGTCAAGGCCATGCTTTCTTCTGACAAGCAGTTTTTTTAGGGCTCGTGCATTTATAGCTAATATCACCATGGATAAGATCCATTTTAGCACTTAAATTTTGCATACTTCTCAGTTAGTAATAACGTGCATGTTCAGTAGTTTACAAGTGGAAGTTGAATAGGCCCAAGATGGGCTTGTGAATATCAAGTACACTGTGCTTATTATATAATTCACACAACCTTTCATGGTGATCATGTCAGGCTTTATTTTTTCATTTCTACTTTTCACTAACCCATGAAGACATAACAAGTGTCCTAACAGAAACTCAAATCAAGCCATTTGAACCAAGCTGAGCTAAGCTCATGAGTAAGCCGAGTAGGTGGCTAGCGGAGCTTGAACTAATGTTATCCAACCTTGGATGATGGAGAACCAAATTGGCAGAGGGAATTCAGTCAGGCCAAGCTCAAGCAACCTAAAACTCAACTCAGCACGCCTTATTTACAGCCCTAACCACCATTGTTTCCTTGCAATTTTCTTCTCAAATCCTTCATTGTTAGATATAAGAAAAAATTTAGTTTGCTAAGAGTTAATTATTATGTATATAAATTCATTTCGTCCATAAAAAATAACTCAAGACTGTTAAATTATACATAATCATTTCACAATACATTGATAGTATTTCTGCACCCAAAAGGTTGTGAAAGAAGTTAATTACAATATGATGTAAGATGGTTCATCAGTAAGTACCAAAAACAAGCAAATACATCTTAAGAAAATATACAAATAGACAAGAAATAAGGTAGTGTGATTATCAAACTGATCTGATATTCTCTAGTTAATGAGGTATTTCATTTATTGCTGTTCTAAAATATTCTGCCCAGAGAGAAAGTTGTGAGCCCCAACCCCACAAATGAAAACAAATCCATGCAGAACATAAGAATTCAGCAACATTCCTTTACAAAAATTAGATAAATCCATAAAATTAACAGTATTTCACTCATCTCTCCAAATAATAAAATCTGGGCTAGCTTATTGACAATTTGACATACTTGATAAACACATCAGCACAAAAAAACTAATTTAACCAAAAAAGTGAAAGAAGATACAAACTAACCTTCCCAGGTCCAGTAAGAAGAACAGGCTTCTCGGTTTTCAGACCCCTGCGCTGCTGAATGGTATCTAGCCCTGTAATTTTGTTCATAGTAATTCAGAACAAACATTCAAATTTAGTGGGTATGCTTCAAAAGAGATTGTATAAAATTCAAAATATTTATCTTTGTACAAGTTTTATTTATTTAATTTTTCCTGATAATGAGTTGGGGGTATCCATAACATTCCTTTTATTCGTCTCATTCTTTCAGTTTCTTCAAATTTTCTTTGTTTCCAGGGGAAAGGTTCCTGGGCTCCAACTTGTAGCTAATAGCATCCTCATGAGTACTAAATCTAATAGTCATAACACGAGTGCTACAACAAAATCTCAAGCAACTTGCCATGTCAAAGTATTTAGTGGTATGTTTACTGTTTTGGGAAGGGCCTATGTTCATTGACAATCCACAAGAGGGTAGCTAGCTGCTAAAACATAAGGTAAAATGCAACCGAGGATACAACACTAATTTCAAGAATAATTATGGAATATTGAGTTGGAAATAAGAGAGCCAAAATAACAAATTGATATTGGAAGAGAAGCTGAGAGGGAGAAACACTTTAAAAAGAAACTTATGTGCCACTATAGAAAAATGGCTTATGGTACACAAGTTCATGAAGACTTCAAAAAGCAATTATCTATCTAACCAAATCATATAGTTAAACATTTAATACCTCTACTCCCACTAAGGTGATGGTTGGACATCAACAAACTTCCACTAAAGCAATACTATATAAGTTGAAACTTTAAACTGACTAAACAATGCCATTAGTAGATTAACATGTATCTTCATGTGGAGTCCATCACTTCAGTGCCTATTGGTTCCCTTCGGTTCGCTTTTATTAGTCGGTTAAGTTTTTCATTTGAAAATAGTTTTTCCTTCCAACAACCACATGAATTGGAGGGTGGGCTTTGACGCAAGAGTAAGGTTGCTCCATTGTCACCTGGAGGTCATGGGTTCGAATCATGGAAACAATCTCTCCACATAGATCTAACCCTCCCTAGACCGGAATGACGAGAGCCTCGTGCACATGGCCTTTACCAACACGATGAATTTCTAACTAAATGCATTCACGAACCATTCATATGCCATGTAGTTGAATACACTAAAGGTTTCAAAAATTAAAATTTAAGTTCAAATTTCAACATATTACCACTGACAGGAGCACAAGAACGAATTAACACGGCCGCTCCAACACCTTCTTTGTCTGCCACAACATTCAGCATTGTATGGAGACCATAACAAAGATAAACATATGAATGTCCCCCAGGTCCAAACTGTTTCCACAATCACCATTCAGTTCACAAATTATATGCAAACATCAAATCACTGCAAATACCCAAAACTTTGTTCACATTTCCAAATCACAAACATATAATCTAAGAATGTAAACCATCTTACAACTGGAGCTGTTCTAGCGGTTATACCGAATCGACCGTGACAAGCTGAGTCGTTTGGCCTATAAGCTTCCACCTGCTTATTCAGAAAAAATAAAACATTCAAAATATACACATTTATAAATACATATATACACACGCACACACACACATACATATTGTGTTTCTGATAAATTAGATACTTTTTCATTGGGGAATTTCGTCGAACATCGTTTGTTACCTCCGTAATCTGAAGAACAACATCATCTCTCCTAAGGTACTTGCCGAGCAGACGAGGAGCCAGATCGAGGGCGTCGATTTGGTAGAAATCAGGAGGCAAGATCTTTGAATTCTTGATGGAGAATTGCGGTACTGAGACTGGATTAAATTGGGATATGACTTTAGAGTTAGGTTTGGATTTGGGTATGGTCGATTTGATCATGGAACTGGAATCGGTAGTTTGGATCGTCTTCTTGGGATTTGTGACTCGTTTGAATCGCTGAGTCCTCTTCATTTCGTTGCTCAACAAATTAAATGGAGAGTTTGCAAGACCAGGTAACTGGATAGTAGTACGTTGAAAGACGAGTACTACTCCTCTTCTCCCAATTTGAAAATTGTGACTCACAAAATTTATGAGTCACATTTTTCAAAACGAACAACTCTAGTGAGTTACAGTTGTTAAAGCAAATAACTTACTGAAATAGAGGGAATAGCTAGAATCGCCAACACAATTAGGGGTTTGGTGGGGCTAAACAAATAATAATAAATAATAATAATTTGAAGTGGAAAAGTTAAACAATTTTGACTGATGAACACAATTAAGAATTGATGTAATTACATAATGATTTGGACATTGATAATGTTTTGGAATGCAGAAGTGGGAGAAATCCGACTATGAAAGTTGGTACGAAGTGTGGTAAATGGGCGAGTTATTTTGAAAATGGACGGATTAATATGGGTTAATATTCGTATTCAACTCGTTTAGGACGGATTGAAAATGGGCAGGGTCAAACTCGTTATGACCCGTTGACCCATTTATTATTATTTTTTATTTTTAAATTTTTTTAAAATTTTAAAATTTTTTTTATACTTTCAGAAAAATAATGAAAATTTATTTTTGGTAGGTGCATCACTGGTAGAAGGAAAAACACATGGTCCAAGTAAAGCACCTTCCTTCTTATTGTCCGTACGAAATAGCAATACTATTTTCTTTTTAAATTTTTAGCTTAACTGTAAATTAGATGTAAAGCTTTTTAAGTTCTTGCTTTTAATAATAAAACTGGAAAAGTTAACTCATCACCTAAACAGCAAAATCAGCTCATTTGTGGGTACACCAAAATGGCAATTAATAAGCATTCCAATAGTTTTATAAATTGGGTGATGTGACCTTTTTTTAGTTTTGTTTTTGGACCGGCCACTTAAGTTTTTATATATTTATTATTTTTATCTTGAATTTTTTTTTTTTTTTTTCATTCTATTTTATAACATGACATGTCTCCCTTTATCTTTAATTTTAACAACTATATTTACTTCATCCCACATTGATTTTGATTAGATTTAGTATCAATTACCTTTAAGAAAAATTAATCTTGTTTTCTTTGCTTTTTTTGGCTAATATATCAATAAATCTACGTTTTGTATTCATAGCACCTAAGTTTACTCATTTTTTTGGCAAAAATGCAAAAAAAAACCCCTGAACTATCAGGAATCGGCATTTTACTCTCTTAAACTACAAAAATGAACAAGTCAGTACAACAACTATCCAAATCGTTTAAATTAACCCCTAAAAGTCGATTCCGGCAACTTTCCAGCCGACTTCATTGTAGATTTACAAAACTACCCATTATAATTAAGAAAAAAAAAATACCAAAATAAATAATCAGCGTGAAATACCCTTAATGTCCCTCAACAATTTTTTATTATTTTACCAAAATGCATCTCATCCTCTCTCCATCCACCTCATCCCCTCTCTCTCTCCACTCACTTTCTCTCTCTGTATGCATACACGACCGCCACCACCAGCATCAACAACTCATCTTCTCTCTCTAAAATGCCGATTTGTAACTACCGTCGTCGACCTCCACCTGCAACTCATCTTCTCCGACCGCATGTATATATATATACATGTATATATACACATCAGTATCATCATCATCATCATCATGCCTCCATTCCCACTTTTTCTCTCTCTAAATCACCACCACCTCTTTTTCACAACTCTGCCACTCCAACCACCCACCACCATCACTGCCACCCACTACCCACCATTAGAAACCCTGCATCTCATGAGCTTATCTCTATAATGCTTGTAGAAAGAGAACCCAAAAGCATCTCATCCTCTCTCCATCCACCTCACCCCCTCTCTCTCTCCACTCACTTTCTCTCTCTATATACGTACACGACCGCCACCACCACCATCAGCAACACATTAGGAAAGAATAATAATTCCTAAATATCTGGTTGATTTATACCTTTAAATAGTCAAGACCTCTGTTTTAACTCTCACGTCCAAACTCCAAGCTTCAATGGAGGTTTTCAATCACAAACATGCTTTCTCACTCATATTCCTCCTCTTCTTCTCACCTTTCCTTTCACCATTTCCATCCTAAGCATGCCATACAGTAGACCAAGAAGTATTACCCCAATTCAAACACTAAATCACCGACGACTCTTTTAGAATGCTTAATTCATGGACACCTTCTTCTGATTGCTGCACAGCCTGGGAAGGCATTGCCTGTGACACCTCCAGCAGGGTTATCAACATCTCTCTTCCCGGCCTCGTGGCCGGCGACGACTACCCCATCGACACCTCCATACAACTGAAACATTGCCATTGGAACAACAAACATGTTACCCTTGCACTAGATATCTATCAGAAAATGACATATATGTACACGAATTGTATTTGATGGTTCCGTGATGTTTTGGTTTTGAAAAGAGTTTGAATGCCACCTTTCTTGCTCTTATTCCGAAGAAGGGAGAAGCGATGGATGTTAAGGATTTTCGTCCTATCAGTTTAATAGGATGTTTTTACAAATTGATTGCGAAAGTTTTGGCTTCCAGGTTGAGGAAAGTTATAGATGGCGTCATTTCTGATTCTCAGAATGCTTTTGTGGGAGGTCGTCAGATTCTGGATTCAGTTCTTATTGCCAGTGAATGTGTGGATTCCCGATTGAGTAGTGGGATTCTGAGTGTTTTATGTAAACTGGATATTGAGAAGGCATATGATCATGTTAGTTGGAGTTTCCTTCTCTACTTATTGGAGAGAATGGGCTTTTGTGAGCGTTGGAGGAGATGGATTATTTTCTGTTCCAGTGTTCAATTCTCTGTCATTGTGAATGGAGCTCCGACGGGTTTTTTCTCTTCTTCGAAAGGGTTGAGACAAGGGGATCCGCTTTCTTCATTCCTGTTCCTTTTTGTGATGGAAGCTCTTAGCAGATTACTAAAGAAGACAGTGGAGTTAGATTTTTTGAGAGGCTTTCGGGTGGGCAGGGATGTTTCTAACCAACTAGAGATCTCTCACTTGATGTTCGCGGATGATACTTTAATACTTTGTGATGCTGATAAGTCTCAATTGAGATATTTGAAATGCGTTTTGATTTGGTTCTAAGTTGTCTCTGGCTTTAAGGTGAATGTTGGTAAGAGCATCCTAGTACCTGTTGGGGATGTCCCTGAGATCGAGAGGTTTGCTCAGATTCTTGGATGTTGCACTGCATCCTTTCCCATTTCTTATTTAGGGTTGCCTTTGGGAACTCCTTCGAGATGCGTAGGGAGTTGGGATCCAGTTGTAGATAGATTTGAGAGGAGGCTGGTGGGTTGGAAAAAGCAGTATCTCTCAAAGGGGGGTCGGGTTACTCTGATGAAGAGCACCCTTTCTAGCCTCCCTACTTATTTCTTCTCACTCTTTCAGATCCTATCTTCTGTAGCTGAGAGAATAGAGAGATTGCAGGGCAACTTTCTTTTGGGGGGGGGGGGGGGGGGAGTTCAAATTTCATTTGGTTCGATGGGAGCAGGTGTGCCGTCCGATTCGATGTGGAGGTTTAGGATTAAGGAGATTGGTGCCTTTCAATAAGGCTCTTCTTGGGAAATGGTTATGGAGGTTTGGGATTGAGAGGCATTGGCTTTGGAGGAGAGTTATCGCAAGCAAGTTTGGGGAGATTAGTGGTGGGTGGTGTTCTGCTGAGATTAGCGGTACTAGAGGGGTGGGGGTTTGGACTATTATTCGGAAAGGGTGGGATGATTTTTGCAAGCATGTTCGCTTTCGGATCAAAGAAGGCAGAAGGATCAGATTTTGGGAGGATCTTTGGTGTGGGGAACTTCCTCTTGCTCTCGCTTTTCCACGGCTCTATAGGATTGCTTCTCATAGATAGACCATGGTGGTTAACTGTTATCACCTTGAAAACGGGAGACTGACTTGGAATGTTCAGTTTAATAGGCACTTTCAGGACTGGGAGATTGAAGATGTTACTCGTCTTTTGGAAGTTTTGTACCGTCAGGTGATCATTGTTGGGAATTCGGATTGCTGGTTTTGGGTTCCTAACTCTCACGGTTGGTTCGAGGTTAGGTCATTCTTTAAGTGCCTTTCGGTTGATTATGGAGGCTCTTTCCCTTGGAAGTCTATTTGGCGGTTTAAAGCCCCCCTTAAGGTTACCTTTTTTGCATGGACTTCCGTCTTAGGTAAGATTTTAACCCAGGATAATTTGAGGAGGAGGAATCAGGTGGTGGTCAATCATTGTTATATGTACTTGTGTGATGAGGAGATAGTTGACCACCTTCTTCTGCATTGCAGTATGGCCAGAGATTGTTGGGATTTGATGCTTGGATTATTTGGAATCCATTGGGTTATGTCTAGGTCTTCTAGAGGGCTGATTGAGGCTTGGAGAGGTGTCTCTGTTGGGGCTCTTATTCGGGAGGCTTGGAGGGCTATGCCTCTTTGTATTTGGTGGTGCATTTGGCTCGAGCGAAATAGGAGATATTTTGATGGAAAGAAGAAATCTATTTTTACCTTAAGTTATCTATTATTTTCACTCTTTTTTGTTGGGTGTTAGGGAGAGATTATAAATTCATTGAGGAGATTATTGTATTTTTGGCCTCATT